ATTGCTTGTCTCTAGAGGTAAGTTTTTAACTGCTTTTTAAACTGACACAGTGATTCTGCTGAGGAGCTAAAACCAGAAGTTCCCCCATGGTGAATTGAAAGCTGTGCTCTCTAACCTAAGATTGTCACACTTGAATAATAATGACAGAGAGAGGCGTGAGGGTGAATCACTGCTAAAACTTAAAACTTGACAATTCATCCCCTCATTTACTGACAGTTATGACCGTATGAGAGAGCACATCGATTCCTAGATCACCAAAACTTACAAAACAACTACAGGACTGGTGTGAAGCAGAGAGAAGAGTTACGGTCAGAACAGCATGTGACTCAATATTTCTGAACGCTAGACGTGCCAGTTAAGAAATAAACCGCTCAGGGGAGATTTTTCTCCCACTCCATATAAGTGCAGAGGGGTAGGAGCAGTTGAGTGGGTGATGGGACCATGTAATTTTCTATGTTTGCTTGTATTCAACCTTGGATATTGATTTATGGAGATAACTAGTGACTTTCAAATAAAAACAGGAGTTTACCCAGTTTTTTTTCAAGCACAGCAAGTGTCAGTGTTTCAAAGTATATGTGGTATTTCTCCAAATACATATAGCACATATACTGTGACTTTTGGAATTTCCCTCCGGGGATTAATAAAGTAGTTTTTCATCGCTATGGCAAACCATGCAAGGAGCCTGCAGTCTTCTGGTGACACGTGGCTGGGATATGCTGGGTTCGTGAATGGTTCTGGCCTAATGGCTCTTTCTCACCAGGGGCTGTCAGTCTACGTGGGGCCTGCTTGGTTTGCTGAGTAAAGGTCAGGGATTATGAATCAAGCCTATAAACGGTCATTAATGCTCCATTTTCAAGATTCTGATGCAGAAATACAAACAACGGCAATGTCACAAAATCCAAAGACAGAAAACCCTCATAGTGTATAAATGTGAGGGAGACAATCTTTTAAAGGAAATTAGTTTATTTTGAATCGTAAGTGACAAGTTACAATCCAACTTGAAAGACTTATCTTCTTCCTCTTCTTTTTCTCCTCCATTTGTTTCCTCTCCTCTTCCAGCTCTTCCTTTTGCTCCTCTCGTTGTATCTTCTAGTCATTGAGTTCCTTCACCTCCTCCTCCATTTGCTTCCTCTCCTCATCCAACTCTTTCTTTTGTTCATTGAGTTGTTTCTTGTTCTCTCTGAGTGAGCGTTTTTAAGAGAAAGACATGAAAATAAAAACATTCAAGAAAGAGAAACAAAGGGACAAAGAGAAATGGTAATCATTTTTAAAAGTATATTTTGTTATTATTTCTGTAACTCCATAATTGACCTCCTATTTCATTGTGTGTTATCTTCTCAAATAAAACAAGATATAAGACAGAGGCCTATCATCAACTTGATCCGAGATCCTGCTGAACAGGTTATAGACAGATCTTCCATGTGAATGGACAATATGGTACATTCTTCCTGTACAGAGATCATATTGTTCATTAAAAAATTAAGATTTTACTGTGAGTGCAAGAAGTTACAAGTAGGACTTTCTTAGATAAACAAGGATTGAAAACAGATGGAGAACAACGTATTTGGTGGGCTCCATGCCTGTGTTTGCCTTGGGCAAATTGCTAAATCTACCACTGACCAGAACTCATAAATTATAATCATGGTTTGGACAATAAGTCAGTATCTAGTACTTAGAAGAGAAGTTAAGAAATATACTTTCTCTTACCAGATTTATTGTCTGTTGTCTGGCTGCCAGCTGTAATTTGTGTAGACTTTTTATGACAACTGAAGGCGACCACAGGTTCTCCTTCATGTTTGGAAGGGGAGAGTGAGGTGAGGGGTATTCAGCTGCAACGTGACACTTCACCACTAGATGTCACTAAATTCTACATCCTGAACCTTTAAGGAAAGGAAAAGCTATTTTATTTACTAAGCACCTTTTATACAGGGACATAAAAAAAAAATAATAATAACACAGAAATCGCAGATAAGTACAATTTTTTTCCTAAAACAAATAAAAAAGAAAATGTAAAAAGAAGTAGAAAGAAACAAAAAAAATAGATCCGTGATATAATACAAATAGAATAAAATAGCTCAGTTCATGAGTTGACAGTGGAACCACAGTGTGTTTATATAAAGATTAATAGTTTGTACAGAAAAGCAGAAGTGAAGGACAGAGGTCAGTGTTTCCAGGCTGCAGGTGGACGATGAAATCATGTGACATGCGCACTCGGCCCTGTTGTTTGAGTTTTGTTATGACAAGTCGAGGCCTCGGACTAAATTAGTAGCGTCGCCCCCCTCCGTGTCTGTCCGGGCGAATCCGCGATGGAGGGCATGGAACTGGACCTGGACCTGGACCAGGAGCTCATGCAGAAATTCAGCTGCATGGGAACCACGGACAAAGACATCCTGATATCGGAATTCCAGAGGCTGCTCGGGTTCCAGCTCAACCCCGCTGGATGCGCCTTCTTCCTGGACATGACCAACTGGTGAGCCCGGGGACTCGCGTGGCCTGCGGTGCGCCTCTCGGTGTAGATACACCGCGCTAGCTAGCTTCTGGCGCCGCTGCTCCCGTCGTACAAGGTCACATCGTGAATAAAACAGCGATTAAAACCATCGTTATTAGTGTTTTCCTTCGCGGTGACACGCTGATTTACGTTAGCTGCGTAAACGTGGGGGCTGACAGCTGAATACGTTGTAGCAACGTAACCAGCTGAGTCAGTGTAGCTCCGACTCCTGATTTCCAGGGACGGACACAGTGCTGGCTAGTTAGCTCAGCAGGGTTTATTTCACAATAATCCAAGTCAACAACACAAGCTGGCATTAAAATGTCTGCGTTTATTTCGAATGGATGTAAACGAAAGTACATTTTAAGGGTGGGGGGGGGGTTCCTGGTTGCTGTGCGCTAGCTCGCTGCCTGCGCCACTTTAGCATCAAGCTAGCTCTGGAGTCGTCACGTCACTGGACTGACACTCGTGATTAAAATGTCTTTTCTCTAAAGATTTGGTTTATTTATATCGATCGACTACAGGAGACACCGATCGCTTCTGTTATCGACTAACACGTCGATCGCATGATGATTGTCTCTGACGACAGCGAGGATCGCTTCGGTTGCGTAATATCGGAGACTCTCGGTAGTAATGTCCTCCCGAGGTGTGTGTGTGTGTGAGAGCCTGGTTAGTGTTGTACGTGCAGATCGCGTGTTAATGTGCAAGTCTTCACCTTGTTAGACTAATAGTTGATACCTGCAGCAGCTTGTGCAGTGTCCCTGAGTGTCAACAAACACATCAGGTCATTCTGAGATCCTCCTTCCATGTTCATATCTTGTCAAGTGTGTGTGTGTGTATGGAAACCGAAAGATAAGATGGTCATGAATTGTCACATATAAATCATATATCTAGAAATTCAAACGAAATGGATGAAAGCAGCAACAAAGGAGAAATAAAAGAAACAAACAATTAAAGGTACAGTTTGTAGAATTTAGTGATATCTAGTGTTGAAGTGTCGTGTTGCAGCTGAACACCCCTCTCCTCACCCTCTCCTTCCAAACATGAGAAAGAACCTGTGGAAACCTCCAGTTGTCATTAAAACTCAAAAGGTGTTTAGTTTGTCCAGTCTGTACTAAACATGGCGGCCTCCGTAGAGAGGACCCCTTCGATGTAGTATTGGAATATAAAGGGCCTTTTCTAGGCTAAAGAAAACTACAGTTCATTCAATTTAGATGAAATGAACTAATGAAAACATCATGAGGATTATTCTACATTAAATTTCTGCTAATACTTCCTTTTCAACTAAATCGTACACACTGGACCTTTAAAATGAAGATGTGACAGCTTATTTTTCATTCATCAACCAAACCAAACAATTTTAAATGCAAAAGCATCTCAAATCTTGAATGCAAAGGAGCAGAAAGAAGAATTATCTTATATGATCTGGCCATTTTTCACAAGACATTAATTAACAAAGCAAATAATTAAAACCATTTAAAAGTTAAGATAGCTGTAGGCCAACACAGTCCCTCACATCCCTCTATTAGTTCCTAAGTTTCAATTCATTTTCAATCCATTTAAAGCAGCTCACAAAATGATTTACCTGCCAACCTGTACTTTAAAGGTTTCGCAAACAATTGTTTTAATCGCTTTTTGGTTTTTGGAGAGGGAAGTTGTTGACACATACTGTTTCATCTCTTTCATAAATACAAAGAATTAGGCTTTTTTCTTTGTTGGTGAACTTACAGAGGAGCAGGCTGTGGGCAGTGCTGTAGACTGCCTGTAGTAGAATCACGTGATGTTGTGTAATAGCTCCTCTGCAGCGGGCTGGCTAAAAATAAAAACCACTGGTTTATGGAGGAGCAGCACGTCAGGGAAGCTCCTCGTCTGCATCTCGTCTGCAGACATCTTAGCTGTGGTTGCCCTCAGTATTATGCATTTGGATCAGTCAACATGCTGCCATGAATGATTTACTGTAGTGGGTATTGTACAAATCAGAGTCACACTAATAATAACATCACTGTCACTAGAAGAATATTTCTATTTTTCCAGAGATCCAGGTACTCAAAGGCCCGGGGCACTACTAGAGTCTTTCAAAGGCACAAGTGCGCTCTTGTTGTTTCCACCATTCAGAGCTAAAAGAGCTACATTCAATAACTGAAGCTTCCATGCTGCTTTACAGTAGCTAAGAGATATGCTAAGAGATATGCTGCATGGGAATTGTATGCATGACATTCGTGTTTTTGTCTTATGAGTTTGTTAATAAAATATGTTAGTTTAACAAAACAAGTCATTTGAAGATATCAGCTTTGATCCTAATCAAATTATAAAATGCTTTTTGTTACTTCTAAATATTTATAGATCAAACAGTCAATCAAAACAAAACAGATAGAAGGTTAATTGATAATTAAAATAATCCTGCATGTTGTTATATAATGCTAACAAAATGTGTTTTATTTTCTTGGTTAAAATTATGAATTAAATGTCCACACTCTGTATGGATCCCATATTTGGCCTAAGCTCATTCGTAACTGTGCAGTTATACTTTACTTAAGATCTGGACTGATCCCCTCGATCTCTGCCTTCTGTTGTCTCAGGAATTTACAGGCAGCCATCGGAGCCTACTATGACTTTGAGAGTCCCAACATCAGCGCGCCGTGCATGTCCTTGGTGAAGGATGTGACGATCGGTGAGGGCGAATCAGTTCCACCTGACACAGCTTTCACAAAGACCTGGAGGATACAGAACACAGGTAAGTCTGCTGGATTAATGATGTAACACCGAGCTAATTCTACATCTAAATGTAAAACAACTGCACTCTCATGTCATGTTGAGTTCAGCAGAGTTGTGTGCTTGTTTTCAGGTGCAGAGTCGTGGCCTCCTGGGGTTTGTCTGAAATATGTGGGAGGAGATCAGTTTGGTCACGTGAACATGGTGGTGGTGAGATCTCTGGAACCGCAGGAAATGGCTGATGTTAGTGTACAGATGCAGAGCCCTGTGTCTCCTGGCATGTATCAGGGTCAGTGGAGAATGTGCACAGCTACAGGACTATACTTCGGAGGTGAGGACAGCAGCCATCACACCACAGAATTATTGCTTCTCAGTAGACATGTATGATAAAGAACGGTATGTAGTATCAAACTCAAATTAAACTAAAATGTACTTATTGAAAAGCAAGAGAGACAAAGTATATATAAGTACCTCAATGCCATTGGTTTGTAAAGTAACATTGAAGTTACCAAGACAGTGCAGCTCCCATCATCATTAAAGGTTGTCATCCTGACTTTTGAGCTCCCAGGCTTATTGAGCCATCTTTTTATTATTATAAGTCAACATGCAGATGAATGCAGCCAAGTAGCATTAGGGAGCAGTCATCATTTAAGATTAACTACCAGATAATACCGTATGCATTCACTGCAGTGCAAACTGCAGTACGATAGGCCACTATTAACACTCACAAATTCAATTAAGAGCCATTAATTCACTGATTCATGTCATCCTACAAATTCAACATGTATGATGGATCCTAACAGGAAGTCCCTCAGGACTCGCCCAGTTACAAATTTAGCAGTGGGGGGATAAATTCTACTTAACCTTAATATTTAATTCGGTGTTCATAGCGATAATTCATCACCTAACACCATCAGTGTCTTAGTGGCTTTAAGAGAAAAATAGAACCAGACACCTCGAGCACTAATAATATCCAAGGATTTCTGAGATGTGTGGTCTATTCACATGATACGTATCTTTTTTTCGTCCTTCTGCTGGTTAATGTAACCTTTGGGGTTTTTGTTTCTCTTGACAGATGTGATCTGGGTGATCCTGAGTGTGGAGGTCGGAGGCCTCCTCGGCGTCACACAGCAGCTCTCCTCTTTCCAAGCTGAGTTCAACACCCAGCCTCACCGCAGCCTGGAAGGAGACTACAACCCCTTCGCCTCGCCAGAGAAAAGCAAGTGCCCCAACAGCAACAACAACAGCCTCCATGATGACAGCGGTCACCGGGTCGAGGAGGAACATTGGCAGGGAAACCCAAACCAGCAACAGCAAGATCAGAACGGACTTTCACACAACTCTGTGGATCTAGTAGCAAACAGTCTACAAAGCAATCTATCAGTAGTCTCTTATAACCAGGTAAGATATGATCATAGAGGAGAACATATTGAATCAGGGTCAGGGACTTTCTTCTTTTCTTATGTTGTTTCATATTTCTATAAAATAAAGTGAAAGATTAAATTCAAAACCTGAATTAAAAAAATAATCTATAAAACATTAGTTAGCTAGCAATGCAAACTCATCACTCTGCATTTATCTAAATCAATATGTGTATATTTTCCAATAGAAATATGCTGTTTTGTGTTAAAGTAAAACACAAGATGAAAATATTAAGGTATTATACAACTAATAGTCCAACAAACATTACATTTTTATAATGAATCTATTGATTATTTTCTTAATAGATCAATGTTATGGTCTATAAAAGTGATGTACTGTCAAAGAAACAACTGAAATGAGGAATCAATAATCAAAATAGTTGCTCATTAACTCTCCTTCTACGAACTAATCATTACAGCTCCACAGTCAAGATTTTGACCGCACAAAAAACAAAAGATTTAAATGTGTATGTATATATGTTCAGATCTGAGCCACTGTAAAGTCTCATTTAATCCATGTCCTTCTCACCCTGCAGCGTTACTATCTGTGCTTTAACCTTTTCCCTTCCTTGCAGGGTATACAGGAGTCCTACCCTTTTGGGCACTCCTAAACCATGGGACTTGTAACAGTGCAGCAGCACTAAACCGTACCTCCAGAGTTTGTCACCCCCATAAGAGAAAGAAGAGGCTTTATCAGATGCTGCTGGAGATTCAAAAACACTTTATGCAAAGTCCAGCTCCACTTTGAGGAACCAGAGGCTGACGCTCCTGACATGCAGCTCAACTAACATCCCACACCCACTGTATGCACGTGTGAATGCTAAGTTAAAAATGAGTGCTATGAGTCTTTTGAGTGATTTCTTTTTTTCTTTTTTTTTTAGTTGTCAGAGTGCAAATGAAATGACGATGACAGGATATATTTGTGAAGTTTAGTGTATAAGTAGTGTGTGTGTGCATTGTGCAACCTGAAAGACTTTGGAGGAAAAGCCATTTATTTTGCCAACTGATTCTCCAGTTTCTGCTCTGACTCTTCAAAAAAAAAAGTTCATTTCTGAATCAGTTCCCTTTAACTAAATCTAATAATATAAGTTTCTCTTAAACTAACCATTGGATATCATCATTTACTTTTCATCTTATTCATTTAGTATACACATTTTATTTTTTGAGAAGGGGAACGGCTACATCCTCCAGAGATATATCTAAGGCTCATTTAAAAGCCAGTCGGTTTTTATCAGTGTTTTTTCAACATGACTTGTTCATTTATGGGGAAAAAAATTCTATGCTATTATTGTACCTGCAGTGATATTTCCCTCCAGTTGAGGGAGTCAGCAATCTAACACGAAGACACAAGATCTGAGAAACAGAATATATTTTATATTTATAACATGGCTCCTATGATTTGGGGAAGCTTAATCTCAATTATTTTACAGAAACATTATTTTCTAAAGCTAGAATTAAGAGCAAGGTAAACTAGACTATAATGAAAAGTAATCTGATTTGGTATGAAAGGTTTTTAAAACAGGAATTATAGACTCATTGCTGACACTTGGATAATACATATCTATATAACATTAGAGGAATATTAGCAGAGTATTCATTATTGCAGTATTAGAGGTTCCCCCAGTCATTGTCTTGACAAAAGATATAGTTGAATTTTACATGCTTGAATTAAATTATAACTAAAATAAGAAGATAAATGACGATGATGCTATAAGACACTGAATATAAATGGTGGTAAATACACACAGTCACATCACACCATGAATACATTTTTTTTTTTTGTTGCCCCGCTTTGAATTTTCATTTTAAATCTGTCTTGGACTTTTTATCACGTTAAGTTGAATGTATCCGATGAATGTAGACGTTTTTGGAGACATTCATTTTCCCAAAGATTTTACATTGTAAATTTTTAATGAACTGGCTGTTTTATGAGTGTAATTATTATTCTGCATTTTCTCGTCTCTTGTTACAATTATTCTTGGGATTCTTTGAAGACGCATTGGAAAAATTTAACCTGTTTTTTTTTTTTTATTATGGCATAAACGTAACATCAGTAAAATTAAAAAAATACAATATCATGTTTTGTTTTGGAATTGTTACGGCTTTACTTACTTGCACTATCAAGCTGATCTATGCACTGAGTAAGGTGACCTCCATTGGAAAGGTCTGTGCGTATTGTCCTCCTCCACGAGTACAGTTAAGTCCTGAAGGGTTTATCAACTCTGTGATTTTATCTGTCATCCAGAGCCACAGTGTTAGAACACCCTTCTATGAAGGAGCTAACTGTCGGCTCCAGGGTTACATAGCTCTCACGGTGTGGCGATAACAGCCCCATGCTACATCTGTCAGGAACCTTTGGGCTCTTTGTTGTTTCACAGAATGTTTTATGTTCCCTGTCCAATTGAGAAATGATTCTCTCCACTGTCAGTGTCACTTCATCAAGTGCTTAGTGCATTTTGTGAGTGTGATGTCTCTGTCTAAAGTTTCTACTGGCCAGATTGCAGAATGGATCAGTTGGCATTAGACTATTAAAACAGCACATTTGTAAGAGTGAGGAAGTGCAAACAGATGAACAAATGAAAGCTTGTTTCCTGTATGGATGTCTGGTGAATGTTTGTATGATTAAATTATCACTGAAAACTGAAATGATGGGATTTTGTGTCATGTTTGTGCGACAGCTTTGGTTCACACTTACCAGGACGGAAAATAGCTTAATATTTCCACCACCACTAAAACATAAAATCTTGCTATTTGAAATGTGTAATTTGTGTTGCAGAAATGACTTCATGTTACTGGTTTCACCAAATGTACCTGGGCACAGTGATGCATTTTATTTTATTGTAACTGGGAATTTCCTGTTTAAGCAATTTATACATACATACAATTATCTGTCCAATATATGATTAAACTTGGAATTAATCAGGTTTCCATGCACTTGCTTTGCCGTTTTAAGGATAAACAAACATTCAAATTAACGTGAAAAGCACAATAGAAGACACCACTCAATAAAAATATATTCTCTGTTTTATAGACAGCATTAATGTGTTGTGCAGCACTTGAGGGCTCAGTTGACATTTACTGCCTGTTCTCTTTCTCATCACCTTTTACATGCAACAAAAACAAATATAAGGGTGATGACAGAACTCGAAGTTCAGAGACACTGGATGGACAGTGGATGCACTGAAAGCTCACTTTTTTGCATCGCTGGAATCAGATTACATGTTAGCCTGGAGGTGTACTGGTCAAATGCTGCAAGCAGCCCCTCAAAGGGGCACCTTCATTTTTTAGGGGCTATTGAACCTGTCAACGTCTCCAGCGGCAGCAGCAGCAGCAGCAGCCTCCTGCAGATCTGCCTGAGGCGGCAGCACTTTTATTCACTTGCTCTGGCTGAATTTTACATGTAAATGTGTCCGTGCAAAAGAAAGACGAAGGCAGCACAGTATGAGCGAGATTATCTTATGAAAGACTCACTGCAATTATCCAACCGACTAAACACTTGTTGTGGTTCAGGCAGAAGTGTGACCCTTAGCTCATTTTTAACTTTCTCAATCAAGGCTAAAAACTCACGGAGCAGCTTTTTTAAATTGCCATTCTACAATATTCAGGAAAGCCCTTGAAAGATGATTTATGTGGGTGGATACTCCAGCTGCAGCTCTTTGGAATATTTCCACACAATCACATAAACATTACTGTTTAGTTTAAGCAAACATTTACTCACTCGCACTTTCTCGTTCCCTCTCTCTATCTCTCGTACTCTCTCTGTGGACCAGTTATTCAACTTTTTTGCAAATCGTTTTCCACCTTTGAAACAACCATCTCTTGAGAAGGTTTATTGATATCTCACCGATGTTATGATACATGCTCCAGATCCCATGTATCCTCAGCCAGAGAAAGTCAAAGCCCACAAAATACACACTAACCTCACCATCCTGACAAAGGCCATTTGTCACTGTCCATATAATCGCCTCTGTCCCACAGAGGTAATCTACAAAAGAGCCAGATGTGGATGATATGTCAAGAAGTTTCAGAACATTTCTACACCATGAAAGTTCACTTTAATCTTCCTCTGTCTTCAAGGGAATTGAAAATCTATAATATGCAAATGCTGAGCTAATCCTCAGTGACGTATAAAAACCTGCCTGATAAAGTTTGATGAAACATTTTCTGCAGAGTTTCCCAGTTGTTTTTATGTTAAATACAAATTGCATGAATTATTCCCCACCTCATGGTGAACTCTGACTCAATTTCCAGCAGATCAGATTAGATAAAATAAGAGTTCACTACAGAGTATATTTAAATTCCCCCATAAAATGGAATAAGCTCCTTAGAAACTGCCTCTCTTGAAAATGACACCAAACACTATAGGTGCCCTCACAGCTTCTCCCCCAGGCTGTTCAGGCCCAGTCTGTCAAGACTCACCAAGTTTGTTTACTTAAGGAACAAGTGAAAACTGCCCCAAGTCATTATTAAATAAGCACTTACAGCAAACTCCCTCATTGAGACACACCCTTTCTTTCAGAAGTGATATGTCACAAAGGCTCTGTGTCCAAAGTAAGTGCTACTGCTGCGAGTCAAACGAGGTGTCTCAGTGGCTGGAGAGAACTGAAGCGATCCAGCTCTGAGGTGCTGGTGGGAGAAGAAACGTACGGTGCATCCTCACCTGAGGACGAGAGTCCCAGTCTCCTGAGGACCTGGAGATTCAGTTCACACTTCAGGCAGAAGGGAGAAGAAGCCTCAGTTCCCTGAAGCAACTTTATTCAAACTCTAACAAGGTAAGACTTTCATGATGAGGCCAATACTGCTCCAAATATCTACTTTTACTTATATGATGGAAGCCACCTGTCAAAACTGCCTCCTCTTCTGTTACCAGTAGTAGAAGATGGATGCAGTTTATCTAACAGAGCAAAAGTAGAAATGGTTTGTATTTAAATAAGCGTTTTTCTAGTCTTGATGACCACTCAAAGCACTTTACAGTACAGTTTGCCATTCACACACACATTCATACAGTGCATCTATTAGCAGCATTGTTCATCATAAATCATGACCCAGTCTGACTCAAGTCAGTTGATGACATGTCACGAAAGTGTCACCGTCCATATCTTATAGAGGAAGTCTCCAAAACACCCGGGGTGACTGATTAGTGAGGTAGTTTGAGAGGATTTACATAACATGGAAATTTGCTTTTAGCTTTCTCAACACTTTGCTGATTCTCTAATGATGCAACAACTTGTTTCTGAGAGCTGATCATGTCATGGTTTATAAACAGTTTGTGCAAATGGATCTGGGAAAAACCAATTAGCATCAGGTATAAATACTGTGATGTAAGATCATTTCTATTCACTGTAATAAATATCATAAAGTTCCTTTATAGTGACATTATCTTGTTAGTGACACGACAGCGTTTCCTGTTGTGAAAAAGACAGATTTGGAAAAACATCACAACAAATAAAAGTTGTGCTTTCACAGACTTGATAAAAAAAACTTAATCTGCAGTTTTATGTTGTGGCTTTAAATATTTTGGACTTTAGACGAAGAGTTTTTTTTTTATCATTTACATTATTAGTTTTTTATTCAAATATTCAGTTGCATAAAATGAAAATACTTTCCTCAAAATTGTAAATAAGTACACTTTTAATTACATGTACTTATACTCAACAACTTTTCTCTCATTATTATTGTTACTGTATTGCACTGTGTTTATTATTATACAGCAAACAACCCCTATGTGTGATCCAAAAATAATTGTGCTATTTATTAGTATAACTAAGTATTTCAACTACAACTGACGATAGATGAACATGGGTGATTATTTAGGATTCTGGATTTTCTCTCTCTCTCTTTAACAATCCACTCCGAACTGAAACAAACACACACATGCACTCGCACAGGCTCATTCACATAGCCCCACATGTATAGATAGAGGTGTGATATTAAGCCACGGTTCTACATTTTTAAAAGGTCTCGACCTCACTGTGTAAAGAACCTTGAGATAATGTATATCAGCATTACAAAAATACAATTTAATTGAACTTAATTATTTTGTCCAAAGAACTGTGGACCGAGTGAAACACAAGGAGCAGTGAACAAACTTTTCATATCGACCGAATGCCTCTCATATCAGACTGACTGCAATCTAACAAGGTTTTAAACACTGCAGCAAAAGCCTACAAATAAAAGGCTTGATTTCATGAGAATAATGCTTTCATTTGAGCAGTGCACACACACACACACACGCAGATCAGGCGTTCGTTTTAGAAAAAAAAAACGTAACCTGGACGAGCAAGTTTCTGTCAGAGCTTAACATCTTAACAGCTAATGCCTGCAGGCGAGAAAAAACTAGAGAGGTGGACGTGTGTCGTGACATCACAGCATAATTACAACAGTGTCTTCTTTTGGCATTAAATAACGTACAATATAAATGCTGGTGTCAATAGACTTTTAAACAATATATATATATATTTATATTTTGTTCTAAAGAAAACTCCACTGTCTCTCAGTGTTTACCGAGAGATAAGCTGTAAATAATAATGTAATGTACCTTCGTGTGACACTGACATGCTTCACATCGAATACAAGCAAACATTAGCAAAAATGTACACTCAGCTTTAAAAGAAACATATTTAAATGTTTTTTGTATGTTTGTTTTTGAAAGATTTCTCCTAGTAGAAACTCAAACATGTTGTATTTAGTTTTGTTGCAGATGCATAAAATTATAGTTGCATGTCGTACCACTCCAAGACTGCTGATCTGTTCTCTTACTCACTGTACAATGCACATTCCAGCTACTTATCAAGTTCGATGTGTCCCACCCTGTAAGCCTTATCACGCTCCCCTTTGTGTTTAACTTGAGATCCATCCTGACGACCTGATGATATTTTCTTTTTTTAAAGGAATGGCTGTTACAACGTAAAAGCAGCCAAATAAGATTTTAATGTAATAACTAACAAACACAATTCAAGAGTTTGATCTTCTTCTTTATCTGTATTTATGAACTGGGGGTGGAGCAGATTGATATCAATGAGTCACGTTGAACGATAATGGAAGAAAGGGTCAGAATTTGGTCCCTGCTGAACTCATTTGACCTGAAAGTTTGAACATATAGATTCATGAGAGCATCTGGAATTAAAGGTCCAGTGTGTCCAGATTTAGGTGAAAGGGAACTATTGTAAAATATTTAATGTAGAATAATCCTCATGATGTTTTCACGAGTTTGTTTCATCTAAATTATATGAATTGTAGTTTTCTTTACCCCAGAAAAGGCCCCTTATATTCAAATACTTTATATTTACATGGAGGGGCCCCTCTCTACGGAGGCTGCCATGTTTTTACATTAGTCCAGACTGGACAAACTAAACACCTTTTGAGTTTTATGACAGCTGAAAGCTGCCACAGGTTCTTTTACATGTTTGTAAGGAGAGGGTGAGGTGAGGGTTGTTCAGCTACAACATGCAATTTCAACTCTAGATATCACAAAATTCTACACACTGTACCTTTAAAACAGACTAGTGGTGTGTTAAAACACTTGGAGGGACAAACAATGGCCTCAGTGGATTTAACTGTCACAAAGATTCCAGTTTGCTTAGCTGGGATAAGCGATCCCTTGTTTCAAAGTAAGTTCCAGCTAAGTAAATATTACAGAACAAATGTCAGGTTTACTTTAGGATTACTCCTGTTTGGATATGTGTCAGAACCACATCAGTGCCACTCTGTCTCACAAGAGAATGTTACTGTTCAACGGGGAAAATATCTGACACCAATGACCAACATGTCTGAAAACCGCTGCTTTCTTGTTTCAGCATTCAAGGAGCCTGAGCATGGGGAGTCCAGGTTGTGAGCACACGGGCTGCAGCACACGCTCGCCTGTCTACATCACTCACCCCCACACTAACCCCAGGGTGGCCTGGCTGGACGAGGCCGAGGACATCAAACCGCCCCGCAGTTTGCTGGGGCTTCCTGAGCTCAGCTGGCCTGGGGTGTACCTCCCCTGCTACGACCGATTAGTCATAGAGGAGAACCCCTGGGTGCTGGGGATGACAGAGGCCTCCACTCCTGCCGCTCCCTCCTGCAGGACTCTGGAGCAAAGCCCACCTGCCCCCGGCCAGGCCCACGCTTCCTCCCCTGAAGCGGAAGGTCAGGTGGAGGAGCGCTGCCTGGAGCAAGTCCAAACCATGGTGGTGGGAGAGGTGCTGAAAGATGTCGACACGGCCTGCAAGCTGCTCAACATCGCACCAGGTAAAACTGGACACAGCAGGTAGAACTCAACACAGCAGTTAAAACACAACATTCCAGTTAAAACACAACACTCCAGTAAAAACACAACACTCCAGTTAAAACACAAAACTCCAGTTTAACGCAACACTCCAGTTAAAACACAACACTCCAGTTAAAACACAACCCTGCAGTTAAAACACAACACAGCAGGTTGTTTGCAGAAGATTTAATCAAAATAATTCTACTTTTTGAAGCCTCCATTTGTTTCTTTGCTCTGACAGTGACACTGAACTGAGGCACTGCCCACATTGTGCAAACTCACATGTTGACACAGGATCATCTTCACTTCTCATGAGCAGAGTAGTCATCAAGAGCCTGAACATCACACACTGTACGCCTGATTATTTGCTTTTGTTGCAGCGTTTTTTCTTTACTTAAAGCACGATACATGTAGCATATAGGCTGACACATTCATAATGCAGCCATGTTTAAGTTAGCTAGACTTTAGCTGGCTGTTAAATTCCAACATATTTCCAACTCTGACTTGTTTTCAGCATCGGGTATCCAAGCTGAACATGTGGGGAGTTGTGTGACCTAAAACAAATCGTCTCTTTGTGTTGTCCTCTACAGACCCGTTGGACTGGAGCTGCATGCATGTTCAGAAGTGGCTGCTCTGGACAGAGCACCTGTACAGGCTGCAGCAGGTCAGCACCATGTTTCAGGAGCTGACCGGGAGGGATCTGTGCTCCATGACCGAAGCAGACTTCAGACAACGCTCTCTGCAGTTTGGAGACGTGCTGTACGCCCATCTGGACATCTGGAGATCTGGTGAGAGGGACACTGGAAAATGGAAATGCATGAACTCTACTGTAATGTTAGCAGCTTGTTTGCTAATCCGCTACTGAATTTTGCTATTATTTTTGTTTGTTTCCTTAGCGGCTGCAATGAAGGAGCGCTGCCCACCAGAAGAGAGCAAGTCTGGTGAGTTTTGGGTGCAGATTCAAGAAGCTGCAGTGATATGTGACAAAACATCGTTCAGGTATTAATGCGTCATGTGGTTTCTGAATGTCAGTAGCGGACGAGGGTTCCTGGTCAGAGGTGATGTGTAACTACCCCAGTCAGCCCATCCACTTGTGGCAGTTCCTCCAAGAGCTGCTCCTCAAACCACATAACTACAGCCGCTGCATCCGCTGGATCAACAAAGAGAAAGGTAACAGTTCCAGATCCGATATTTGCCTAATGTTGACATAGTATCCGAAGTTAGTCAAATGCATTTAAAGGGATAGTTCACCCAACAATGAGAATTCACTCATTTTCTACTCACCACTATGCCTATGGAGGGGTGTAGGAAGTGTTTGAGTTGACAAAACACTCTTGGAGTCTCAGGGGTAAACAGTGTTGCAGCTAAATCCAATGCAATTTAAGTAAATGGTGATATTCAAACGTAAAAAGAAACATAAAATACCTCCATACTGCTTCTGTGATGTCATCCAAGTGTCCGTAAGTACAGACATTCACATTCTACTTCAAACATTTACGTTTTTAGCCGAAGTGTTTGTTCTCCACCTCTAGAGCCATGGTCCCATCAGACATTTAGGCTGAAAACATGGTGTACGATAATATGATTTAGTGATTAGGAGTTGTAGTTTTAAAGATTCAGTGTGTAGAATTTAGTTACCTCTAGTCGTAAAGTTGCATGTTGCCACTGAATACCCCTCAACTATATATAAAGTATTATATAAAGGGTTCTCTCTCATGCATTTCAAAATCTAAACAAAATGAATTTTCTTTCCTCTGTCCACAGGAATATTTAAAATCGAGGACTCGGCTCACGTGGCCAGGCTGTGGGGCATCAGGAAAAACCGTCCGGCTATGAACTATGACAAACTGAGTCGCTCCATACGCCAGTACTATAAGAAGGGAATCATCCGGAAGCCCGACGTATCCCGCAGACTGGTCTACCAGTTCGTCAACCCTGTATGATGGACGAGGATCAGCCGCTCAGACTGAGCTCATGGCCATCCAAAGATATGCTGGACATACAGTCGAATAACATGAACTCTGACGCTGTTTGAATTTGATGTTTCGTGTCACTTGTAAAGACTGCCTACAGAAACACGCACTCCTGCCTATGATAGTTTCACTCTACTTTACAGTTCTTAAAAGAAGTGGATTTACTTTTGTTTGTCTCTTTATAGTCTTCAGCACTTGTGTCTCTTTGGTGCAATGTCCGGTTTCTCAAATGACCATTTTTCACCTGACAGTGGAAAAGAGCTTTTTCTCTTTCCTGCAGAGAGTCAGATGAAAAGACAGCGCACATGTTTGCGCTCTAAATACTGGAGGGAGCAGTTAACTTAACATCGATTCTGGAAGCCAATCTACAGCCAGATCTATCCAAAGGTAACTAGAATGGCCCTGAGTGGAGCACATAACTCCACCAAGGCCCAACACTCCCCTTTTTATACCACATAGAAATGTACTAGATCTGCAACAAACTGCACAATATTAGTACCCAAAACATGTCTGATTTTCTTTTGCATTAAGATCTGTGAATTATTTTCTGAGAAATTACAGAAAATGTTGCAAAAAAATCCACCCTGTTCCAGATCTGCAGCAAAATTGAATGGGTTCTTCCTTGAACCATACAGCAACCTTCCGTTTTGTGGTAATCCGCCCAGTAGTTTTTTGTGATCCTGCTAACAGACAAACAAACATGGATTAAAACATACCCTCCTACACAAAGCGTCCGTGAGCATACTTGTATTTATATATGTTATACTCTATGCTCTTTGTGTAATAAGAGGATTGTGTTTCCGCATGTCCGTTGCTCGTGCCAAGCTAAGCTAACTGGCTGCTGGCTCCAGTTACATATTTATTTATTCATTCTGACAATTTTTATCTTCTAATTAAACTTTTTATGGAGTTAGTGTAATTCTCAAAATGTCAAACTTTTCATTTAAAATCTCTTTGTTTTTTTAACAGACTTTTCCAATTAGTCCAGTAATTATTACACAGCAATGAAATACGTGGATATTTTATCAAACCTGCAGTGATTAATATTCCTATGCATTTCCTCCTTAGACTTTATGTTCAAGCTCTATAATAAAGAAATACATTATAACCTGGTGTTGTCCTTTTGAAAGAAGAAACGATAAATAGCCTGATAAAACACTGAAGCTCACACGTGCAGTCCATAACAAAAAACACACGGACACTAACTTTTTCAACAAACTTGTTTCCCTTTCAAACCAATATCGCAATATTGACACCACCACAACAAATTCGATTTGGGTTTTTCATCACTATCATCAATATTATCTGTGATCATAATCATTTTTATGCATATTTAAATGAACTTCTTGTTACATCAAGATGAACAGGCACTACACCAGTTAGGAGATAAAAGTACATCACTAACTATGAACATACATCTTCTAGACCGCTAATATAGGGTTTCCACAACGTGAGCTGCTGTCCCCTGTGTGCATAAGGAAGAGATCATCAACATAAAAAAGCATTTACATGTACACCTTTTTACTGCCTCAACATGGTTAGGTCTCATTTTCAACTCAACACAGTTGTACAGTTACAATAGAATATAATCTTTAAATTACATCATCATATACAAATCTGACAGCGTGGGATAACGTCACGCTTTTATGATACACTGACAATTCCATTGCAATGAAATTCATACGATATGGTTCCTATTACTTAATATGTTTTCCATTGCTGTTATTTAAATGAAACACATTTACATGTATAACACTACATTTTGTCTTAATAGTCAATCACTTGCATTTTTTTTTTTAAAACATTTTTTCTGTTACATTTACACAACTCATACACACTGGATGATGAAGATGTTTTCCCCCAAAATATTAACCTGGTCAGGTGGATTATGTCTTTGAACTTGCATGTATTGTGTAAATTGTGTGTTTAATGAAGGTGTATTTGTGTGAATGTGTGTGTGTGTGTGTGTGCGTGTGTGTGCGCATATCAAGGATGTGGGACAGTTTGATGTAAGAAGTCCTTTTTGCTATACTGGACAGCTGTTACTCTAAGACACAACTTGTGAGCTGGTGATGTGTTTCTCCTCATGTGTGTGACCCAAACCTGTCAAATCCTAAACACATCTGCTGACTGCTGTTGGTCTGCTGAAATTTTAAAACTCCAGGACAACTAAGTTAAAAAAGTGTCTCTCTTGTCTAATCAGAGATTTAGGTGCAACTTGTAGCAAGACGATGAACTAATCAGCATCTGATGAATGCCAATTCCTGTGATAAATCTTATTTCTCTGGAGCAAAGATTTTAAGAATGTAATGTGCTGTGTAAGCATCGTCTTACGTGCACTGCAGAACGGGTGATGAGCGTTTTCACTGTGTCGTTGCGTTGTGTTTTGCAGACAAATGAGGTTTGGGTGGACTGGGAGGCAGCTACAAGTTGATCCTCACTGAAGCGGTTTTTCTACGTGATATGTGAAGTTATTGCATGGAGAGAAAACAGATAGTTGATGGTACTGGGTCATTCTTTGGCTCAGCAGGGAAACAGGCCACATAACTAGTGCTTTTTGCTAGTTGGGGCTTTAACTGACAGTGGAGAGCCATGTTTAGACAACATGACCTCTTTCAAGCCCAAACACTAGTACATTCATGTCCTGTTGAAGAGGCTTCAATCTTCAGACAGCAGTCTGTAGCACAGTAACACATTGACATGCCTCCATTGGCCCCTCTCTCTCGAAGAAGAAAAGTGCCTGGCACAGGCATTGGTCATAACCCTCCTCTCATACAACGGTGGCACCCTTAAAGAAGATGTGATCCGGCTTCGCTCAGAGGGAAAGTATCACTCCTCTCTCCTGTTAGCAGTAAAGATGATTAAAGTGACTCCTGAATGAACCAAAAATGAGAGCTGCTGCAGAAACTGTGCATCATTTCCATGGATTGCATGAAGATGATATTGTTGAATGATTTGTGATGCTAAGAAAAAACAAATCAATGTCAAAAACAAAACATAGAATCAGTTCATCAACACGCTTCCTCACATGAAAACGGAAGCATGTGCATGTCCAGAAGCATGTGATGCTAAAAAAGTGACTCTCTGCATTTGTAGTTGAAGTGTTGCATCAGGTTGTAGCCCACACAAGGCTGCAGGATTCAGGGAATGCAAGTGGTTGCATAGCACATGCTGCTATGCAAGCTTAGAAACAGTTAAAAACACATAGCACTGCACACACCGGAAAAGAGGTTGGACCAAATCACAAAGAAAAACAGAAAAGAAAAAAAAAGAAAAACGGGATACTGTCTGTGGTACTTTTAACACTACACAGCATTCCTGATGTAAGAATGACGACTGACCACACAGCATTAAAAATGCTACACAAAAATGGCATCACACTGTATATACACAATGCAGGTGAGAGAAGCTCGTCTTTGTCAAATGGGTTTAACTGATTATATCTTCCCATTTTTCACGAGAGAACAGACTGCAGTGTACTGCAAGTTTAAATAAGCTGCATCATATGTTACATACAGCTATACAGAGAAGCAATGTGTTCCTGCACTGTGTGGATGTTATATCTGAGTGTGTATATACTGGAATAACTGCTGCTCCTGTTTTTAAATGTGTAAGTCCACCCACCTCGAACGCTGGATAAAATATATAATACTGATATATTGTCTTTTACGTTACTAAGTTTTTATTTAGGCAAGACTGCTTGGCGCATCTGTTGGGCAAGGGATGTGTTGCTCTTAAGTCTCTGGCTATGTGCGGTGCAATCGGACGGGACAGTTCAAGCTGCCTCCAATGGCTTGTCCTTGTCCAATCACGGGACTAAATTGGCTCGACGTAATTGGCCGGGTACAGTCCCTCTCGGCCGTTGTCCAAACGACCTCTACACCAGCCCTGCTCGTCCTCGTCCTCGGTCTTGGTCAGTTCGTCACCTGCGGAGGAGACGCCACTCTTTAATTAACATGTGTAAGATATTCAGTGTGACTCTGGAAGGAAAGGACGATATTTAAAAATATATTAAAAAAACACTTTTACATTTCTGCAGATCATGTCTCTCTAAATTATTATTATATAGTACAGTACAGACCCAGAATAATGTGACTTAAGAACATAGTTTTTGATTATTTGGAATTTTCATGTTCTACTCAGATAAAGAAGGAAAAGACTGACACGACATTTGTGATTGTACATCAAATATGAAAATACTTCCAGCAGCTGGTTCCTCTTAGCATAAAGAAGAAAAGAAAACTCTGCACCAGCACGTACAGAGTCAAACTGAGTCATTAACATGTTCCTAGGAAAAGTCTGGCAAAACACAGCTTCTCATGTTTACACTGTTTTCCACTGATTAAACAAATGAGAGATAATGTTGCTGGTGGGTGGAGCTTGTTACTTTTGGATGAATTTGTGCTAAGCTAAAAAACCACCTGCTTGCTCAAGCTACACATTTAACTAAGTGTAAAAAAAATTCTCATCTGACTCTTGAAAAGAAAGCAAATGAGCTGAACTTTTCATTTGTTCTTATATTTCAAATGGTTTTAATTCTGTTAAAAGACTCTAACGCGCTGTTAGGAAACTGTAGCAGGAAAATACTGTTTTCAAATTGTTCTTGCAGGTGTTAAAGTCAGCATCCTCAGGACACACACAAGCTCAAGGGTAACAAAATACAATTGTGCAGATTATTCCACTGATTTACAGGTGGCAGTTAAAGAGTCAGGTGACAGGATAATGCAGGGAAGATTAAGAAGATAGCTCAGAACTTTCAAAACAAAACACAAATCTCAAAGTTTTCTAGGTAAAGAAATGCAGTCACACGTCTCTTCGGCCTCAGGGGATCACAAAGTGTAAACATACAGTATCTTTTGTTTGTTTGCAAGAAAACTATATAGGGCCCTTACAGTTGTTTTTTAAAGAACCATCATGTACATGCAGGAAAACGTCTTTAAATATTCCCTCCAGCCACACATCCCTGACACCTTATTTCAAACTGTGGGGTTAAAAACAGCCGGTGGACACAGGATGCACAGCTGTGGCTTCATCAATAGTAGTTTTTCGGTGTAATGCTCGTCTTTAAATCGTTAGTCACGTCACCCTGTGAGGCTCTGAAGCACTTTTTCAGACCAGTTCGTGTTAATTGGTGGCAAGTGCCTGTAATTTGTTTTCCATGTGGCCATTATTAACTAATCACTGCTATCGTCTGAAGAGGAAGGCAGCTTCAGAATAGAAACCAGGACGGAGTTGGAGCTTTTCATCTCATCCTGACTCTCCTGCTTTCGTCTGACAGGAATCACTGACCCTGTGTCACATGGTCGCTGATAATTACCGGCTTTGAAGGTGAGCTCGTCCTGTTCCTGGCCGTCATAATCATAGAGAGCGCGTACACGGACGCCTTTGCCAGTGCTGGAGTCATCTTCGAACGAATTCCCGTTCCCACCATTTTCATTGCCGGAGTAGCCAGCGGGCTGCTCGTCGTCAGACCATTCAGTCGAGTAAGCTTGATTCTTTTCATAGCTGCTCACACTGGAGGTGGGAGAAAACGCAGGGTTAGGTTTAACTTCAGACGATCCCATAAGACTAAGGATTAACGTGACATCATATTTTTTGTCTAACTGTTCTCAATCTCATGAGAAGGTCAAAACCAAGAATCAACCGATTTTACTGTTTAGTATTTATCTATAGCTAAGTATGCCATGAAGCTTATTGGCCGTAGACCTTCATTGTTGTCCATAACAATTAAATAAATGATAATGAGCTGCAGGACGACATGTTCCTTTATCGCCTTGATTCAAAATATCACTTCATGTTTAAATTGATGGCGTTTCTGTGCATCGATTCCTTGAACTAACCTGCTACGATCACCAGGTGGAGCCACATGGTCAGTGCTCGGAGTGGGTGGGGCTCCGTCTGGTTTCTTCTTCTTAGGAGGAGCACTGGCCTGGTCTGGGTTGTATTCCTGGTAAAAGAGAGAGGGGAAACGAATGACAGCAGAATAAGTAATAGTCTTAAATAAATGAAGAAAGAGTTTTGGAATGTTTTGATTCTGTACCTCAAACACAGGCCAGTTCATATGCATCCCAGGGCCGTGGTTGTTGCTGAACCACTTCAGGTCCTCTTGTGTGTTTGCACCCAGGATGGTGCGCTCCAGTTCTCTGTATATTGTGCCATAGCTGAGGAGAGAGAAGTGGAACAAATGGTGACAATGAAAGTGCCAGAAGGGGCCTGGAGGGGCCGTGGTGCCAATTTGGCAACAGACCCTACAGTGAAGTTCAAGAGAGAGATCCAACACTGGGGTGTGACCAAAATGAAGTGTCTCCCTGAGTTTTCTGCTGGAGCTGAGGTACTGGACTGACTGTATAGTTGTGACATCACAAAGTTATGTAAGAAACTCAGTTTAACACAGTTTCTGAATATTGGCTCGGTGCTTTATGATAGAAAACAAGGACATCTCACTTTCTACAATATAGCACCTTTAAGCAAATACAAGATCCTACACCTCGAACTCTGAGTAAAGTGATATATATGTGTGTGCATATTCAAACTAAAGAGAAATCTTTCACTGTGGTCGTGATCAGATAGAATCTAGTGGCTTGGCTTTCATCACACAGACATTATTTCATGAATCTAAGCACATCAGTTTCTTCTCAGTGCTCATCTTCTCCTTTTAATTTTCAATATGCAGCCACACATGAGATATCATAGTTGTGGGACGTCATTTACAGAAAACTAATGTGTTGAACTTGTTTTGTTGTTCAGGATGAACGCACCCGTATCTCCACTCTCTGAGAAGCTCGACTAGACAACAGAAGATGGCAGCTTTGGACAAATAGTCTGATAATCACTTTGTCACGGGGGGGGCCATCTTTGTTGTAACACACAGGTTAATAAACGCCTGGAATGTGACAAGTATTCACTCTGAGTAAAAATCAGTTTGACAGAAACGTCATTGACCGAATCATCCATTAATTAAGTGCTGTGAGTGTAAAGGCTCATTAGAAACGTGTGGCTAGTTATGAAATGTGTTGAAATTAATCAATTTGAAGAGAAATGAACTGAACGTGACAAAACAAATCAAACTCATCTATTAGAGATTCAAAATAAAGAACTGTGGTTCATGAGGAATTTGTTTCCCTGTTGCTTGTTAACATGGTACATAGAAATATTCTGTACATTCTTAATGAATATTAACAAAATTGGATCTCACCATATATACAATTACATGATGAAAAACCTGTGAGGTCTGTTTTCTCCGTGTATACAGCTTCATATGTGGGAGTAAACAGAGAAGTGATGGGAAAACAGCGGCTCGATGAGTCTTTATTAATAAAACTCACAAACCTTTGGTTCTCGGTGAGGTTAAGGTGGCGTTTGATGTCCAGCAGCGCCTCCTTCAGGAAGGTCAGCCTCTTGACTTCATGCTGCTGGCACTGGTCAAACACCTGCTCCATGCACTCCATGTACTGAGGGGTGCACTTGTTCAGCTCCTCCAGAGACTTCTCATACTTTTCTTTAGCCTTTGATAGAAAAACCAAAACACAGCTAACAATTTAAAAACAAGCTTATTCCTATTTGGAACTTGAAATACTGAAAGTAAACTGAACCCAATCGTATTCTGTAAATCTCGTTTTAACGTGGCTTCGATTGCAGCTTAAGTCAGAAGGTTTTAAAGTATTTTGCTGTGGTGACAATTTTGTGCAAATAAATACTGTGACTGTCCCTATAAGCAAATATATAATAATACAAAACCCATTCTTGCCTTCACACTGTATATATCAATCTGATAGAAAAATTTATCTTAATCAAAAGCCATAAAAACCCAGCAGCAAGACAGAACATGAACCAGTAACAAAAGACAATATGATACTGGATCTGTTTTCATAGAGACTCGACATCTACTGAAGAATTAAGCATGTACTTGTGTAGAACATAATCTTCCATCTTGTGCCAAATGTGTTCTTAACTTGTTTTGCCTTCAAAGTATTTGAATTAAAACACTAATAAGCCCTTCACTTGCTTTTCTGGTCTGTTTCTCACCTTCTGCATATCCTGTTTGCATTTGTCTACTTTCTCGTGGAGCTTCTTCTGCTGGTCCGGTGTGACAGACGCCTCCGTCTTGCCGTTGGCCTCTCGGGTAGCAGCCAGCTTCTCCTCCTTGCAGGCCATGTGGTATCCTTTCTTAGCCGTCTCCATCTGTACGTCCAAACACACACGTTCTCATTGCAATTGTCACGTTTCATCATCTCAGAGCAGGAGTGACCTTGTCCAGACTGGATACATTTTATTGTGATCACTAAACTGTTCATAGCTACATAAATATTATTATGCTCTTTTATCTGGGACCAGAGACATATTTACTATTTAGACTTAAAGACCAGAGCAAGTACAAACATATAAGACTCACTGCACAGGAAGGGAAGTCATGTTTGTCATAAAAACACAATTAGATTAGATATGAGGTATCTACTGAGGTCTAAGCCCTCGTCTGTGCTCTCTAGTATCACATGGAGCCACCTGGAGATAAAACATCAACAATCAAACCCATGACAGTCAATCGTGAATGTTACACATAAATAAGCTGTGATTAAACATAAGGCTCGTAGCTGTGAATCAGGAAACGCCAGTGTCACCACCACTGGTCTCTAGATTGAATCATAAGTGCAGGCAAAGTAAAACTCAACTGTCCACTATTATAGAAATAAGAGTGATATTCCACTTTCTTTTAAAGCATAGCAGGAACTGGGGTGACTTTATTTAATGAATTTCTGCTTCCTGTATTTTATTGTTATTTATAATTTTTAGGTAAAAGAAATTTTGACATTTCGGGGAATTGTATGGTTTGAGTTTATCGATCCACTGTATAAAAATTGACCGATACGACCAGTGAATTTGGTTTAAATTAGTTATTTGATGCTAAACTAGTTGAAACGTCATGATTGACAGCTGAGACTGACTCTGTGTCGGCAGAACCTCAATACAGCAGCTAAACTCCACCATCTCTGCAGCACAGACTCTGCCCCAAATGACATCAAATGCACAAGATGGCCGCCCCTGTATCCAGGATGTTTTACATTTGTGTCTTTATTTACAAGCACTGATCCCAGAACAGCGTGAAGAGAGATTAGAGTGTTTATGTGACACAAAGCAACAAAACAACATCACAAGTAGATGCTGTGTCTTACATCTGTGACATTCTTACTCACATCTCTTCCAACTCTATTTTACCAACACAATGATGATGACTGATAACAAGTGATGATGAATATTCATTCCATCCTCCTCACCTCCTTGAGCTTTTTGGCCCACGGTTTCTGAGCCTTCTTGAATCCCTCCTCCGCCTCCTTGGCCTCTTTGAATCCTCCGATTATTTGCTTGTGATACGCCTCCTTCTGCCAATTCTTCACTTTCTCCACGTCGTCGTTCACCAGGTTGTTCTTCACGTCTTGGTGCAGCTCACTCACCTTGTCTGCCTCGGTCATCACACCCAGCCAGGCTCTCTCCACCGAGCCGTACTGTGGGCCTGCGGATCAGAAGAGAAAAAAAGATTATGCAAATATTCATAGAGAGCAAATATCAGACTGTGTAAATGGAGCTTTGGCAAATTGACAGACATGATTAAGTATATTCAGTTGCCGAGCTATTTATTTTATTGACCCTCCTCCACAGGCTGACCTTTCTCAATGAGCTGTCTCCATCTCTTGGACCAGGCCGTTAGCTGATCACCATAGGCTTTTTCTATCTTGGCACGTTCCTGCAGGCAGCCCATGAGGTCATTGCAGAGCCGATGGCCGTCATCAAATCTCTTGACAGCACGTTTGTAGTTCCCCACCTGAGACAGACGGACACATACAGACAAATATGTCAAAACAAATATATAAATACACAAAAAACTGACCAGAGGCAAATGAGGAAAATATACCACGATACAAGTGTATATAATGATTGGGTAGAATATTAAAAGCAGTTGTCAACGGTCATTATGATCTCATAGTGTTGAAACAGTTTTAGAAAGAGCAGCTGTAGGAGGCTGATCGTGGGATCGACTGAAGCACTGCAACATTAAACTGCATATTTAGTTGAGTTGTCGAAACCTTCAATACTGACTATTCATATTGCACTTATCTTTTTAGATTAATGTCAGCTGTATCTATATTTGTCTATCATATTTATATTGATTTATCTTTGTACTGTGTGCACTATATTTTCTATTCTATCATTTTTTGTCCATTTTCTTTTAGATCTTGCCACCTTAAGTGAGGCCGCCTTAACAAAAACAATGCCAGACTGTGTGGCTCCACCTCCTCAGTGCCTGCAGGGGGCGTGAGCTCATGGTGCATGATGATGGGAGGGTAGTAAGTGGGGGAGGGGGCTCGTGCCTGTGCATGTGTAGTTATGCAATGACATGGGCCTGTGTTTGCGCATGTATGCCAGTGTGTGTATAGATGCTAGCATGTGAGTGTGTGTTTGTGTGTGTGTGCACAAACTGTGACTGCTTTAATCCTCTTGAGTGGTGTAACGCAGGCAGACACATTCTCAGAGAGACAGAGAGAGAAATACACAGAAACCACAGACATTGTGGAGCACATGAATAAAAACTGTCCTGTTCATCTTCACGCAGACATGAAGTCATGAGGAGCAGGTCTGATGCGCTCGCTGGCTGCGGAGCTGCACCGTGATTGGTCCCGACATGAGGATGCATGTGTGGGTAGTGTTGGAGCTGCAGGGAGGCAGTGAGACAGGTGTGTGACGGTGTGAGCTTTGCCCCGTGTGACAGAGCGCCAAGTCACACCAACAACAACACACAGGTGGACTGGTACCGCACATGAAAACACACAAGCCCTTGTTTTTCAGCAGCCTGGTGATTATCTCATGGTTATAATAAGGTCAAATGTTGATGTTTCTGATGACAACATCTGAGAATAAAGCTATTTTCCGGCGTTTATAAACCACGATCTGACCCGAGCTGTGTTGCTGGGTACGGATGCTATAGGCAGGTGCATGAAGTGAAAGGACGTCTCATAGCAGCTGATGACTGAAGCTCTTTGTCTGTGTCTCTGTGTGTACGAGCCATGATACAAAGAAGACTCTGTACCGAGGGAATTCATTAACGCTAATTTGGTGGGTTTGAAAAGCAAGCAAGCGCACATGCACACGCACACACAGACACACACAGACACACATATGCAAGTTGCCTTTTCATCACAAGTGAAGATGGCTATCACTTATATGACGTTAATATTTTTGTGATATGTTCTATCATTGTACAATCATTACAAACAGGACAACAAACATTCTCTCACTAAGACCGCCACATTTGATATAACAAAGTAGAAGTACTTATTGTAAAACTATGAACAAATAAAGAATTGTGATAACTATTTGAAATTATATTCACATCATTAATCCATTTATTCGTCTTAAATACTTAGTTAGAACGACAGACGCCCATTCACACCACAAAAACAACTCCTGCATTATAAGAACCTAACCTTATAGATATATAATACTGATGGTTAATTCAGCCCAGTTCTGTTAGGAAAAGAAAGATTCATTAAAAGTATGAGATGCTTTAGAACCTTAGAATATTTCTTCATCGTAAGAAGAGGAAATAAGAGGCGCAGCACGGAGGGGGTTTAAACTATCATCATCATATCGTGCTCTCTCCTGTCTTTCTGACTGGCTTTGGCGACTGTGATAAACAGTGAACTGCAGATGGTTCACACTCACCTGCCAAGTATATTTGCCCTTTTTCCAAACTGTTGCAAAACCATCTGGTGCATCAGATTACATATCTTTTGCCACGGTGACCACAATCACAGACGATGCAGCTTTATATCCACATGTCAACATGTTTGTTAGCTGCACGTCGGGATAATGAGGTGGAGAAATAACTAAACGGGTCACTTTTGACACGCTTCTCTTTTAAAGCAGTGGTTTGACACTTCTTTGAATCCCTGTAAAGTTTCAGAGGAGAAGTTTGATACCATTTTGTGTCTGTTATATGTGAAGCTACGACCAATAGCTGGTTATCGTGAAGTAGAGTGGGATGATGGGAGTTGCTGATGAAATTCTGCCTGACGTGACTCAGACATAAATCATGTTCACACATGAGGTCATGTGTTAAAGTTTTTTTTACATGTTAAGCATCAAACTGTGATGAATAATCATGGTCCATTACAAGTGACCAATACAAACTGTGGAAGGAAAAACAACTGACTGGCAAACTGGCCAGTGTGTTTCTGCTTCGTCAAGTGTAATTTGTAGTTTGAGGAAATGACGTAATTAAAAGGCGACAAAATTATACAATTTGGATTTCTCTGGGTTTGAACATTGTTGGAAGTATTTTGGAAAATGTAAGTACTCAAGTAAAACATATAAATAACAAAGGTCTAGATGTCACCCTCAGTCACCCTCTGCTTCAAATCTCAAAGGGTATCAAACGACATCACCGGGACTTAACGAGCTTCATGACTAGTAATCTAATTTTGAATGGTTTCATTGGAGACTGCCTGATTAGGCAGCCAAATCAATACAAGACAGGGAGAGGGTGAGGGGTAGTGTTGCAGGTTGCCACCAGACATCAGAACAGACGCGACGTGTCCTCCTTACCTCCCAGAAGCTGTCCATGGTGTCGTCAACACCTGCACATTCATCGTAGGAGCCAGACATTTTGTTGGATGTGAAAAAGCACTCTAATGACTAAACCTGTCCTCTGCAGCAGAGCTGGGTTCCTCATGCACTGAAAGAGACAGAGAGAAAGACGCTGTGAGACAGTAACTTAACACAAAGCAGTAGAGTGTGTTTGAACGCACATTGGAAGGAAAACATGGCCTCTGTGTTACACTTCACAGCAGCAGAGGGGTGATTTTCCCCGGGGCAACTGCAGGGGAATCTTTCAGAGTGAAGGTTTCTATTTGAGACGTTTATAATAATGGAATAAAAATAGTCTCCTCCACCAAGCATATAGCTCCCTGCCCTGAGGAATGAGCCGGAGCATCTTCTATGTGTGGTGTCCTAGAAACGACACCAGAGAGAGTGGAGCCTCACACAGCGCTGACCCGGAATCCTTCCACACTGCAAACCTGCGTCATTTTGAGACCTTACATCTGAGAGCGAACGCTCGACAACACACACACACACACACACACAATAAACACATGCTACACATGCATCTTCATGAACTCCAGCAGCCCAGAAACACACTTTACGTGTAAACACTAGAAGACAGAATAGAAACAGAGATCTACATGACTATTTTTACACCTCCCTGTGTCCTTTAATGATGCGGTTTAATCACCTCTTACTCCATAAAGCTGCAGAATACAGTTCCTGCAGGATTTCCTCGAGCATTTAGGGTGATTTATATTTATTTGTTTGACGTCTGGTCGATATCTTACCACCAAGGTTAAAAGAGAAGAGACTGCTCGACGCTCTATTGGTATCGAACCCTTTTGAAGCCTAATCCATTTTGCTCACATGACTAATGCTTTTCCTTGACAGAGAGGTCTTCATTGCACTGCAACATCCAAATATGACAATGCATTTTAGTGTCAGTGCCTAATAATAAGAGTAACAAGGGTTTGTTGATGACATTTCTGCTCTCACATGGTTTCTTAGTCGTTATAATTAAATATAGTTGATTGTGATCATTATCTAATTCAGCACATCGTCTCACAGTCATTCTTCATGTGCTCGCTCCAAATGAAATTTTGGTTTTGCACGCTACGTAGAGGGCAAAGCAGATGAACGATGATTCATGAGCCATTTTAGATGAAATGCTGAGTCAGCACTCTCCTGTCTGCAGCACCACCATGAATGTTTGGTTCAAATATTAACAGTGTCCTCGATAGTTCCTCCGTCAACCTCACTCTGCAGTCAAGTGCAAATTAACTCCTACAACATCCTTCATCCCTGGAATGAGTCACGAACAACGACTCCCTGTGTTCGGCTCAATTTGAACACGTCTGGCCTCACTTTTCTCTACAGCACAACAGTGTTATTGTCCTTGTAAGATAAATAAAGAGAAACTAGGAGGTGAACCTGTGAGTGGAAAGCAGTTTTAACAGCAGCTCCTAAAACACGCTCCAATCAAAATGTTGTCTGAGGAACACATCAGTCAGTGCTTTCTGAGACGAGGTGTATTTTATCGAAGGCCTCGATGACTGTCAGCAACCTTCACACTAGTTGCCTGTGACAGTCATAATGGTTGCACTCTGCGCTGGATGTAAGACCAAAGCATGAGTTCATGATTTAACAATTTTCAAGTCAGTGTGGAAGTCCATTTGTGTCTTTCAGCTGCTCAGATCAGCAGCTAAGTGTTTTTCTGGTAATTCACATGAAAATGGGGACAACTGCTTAAACCAGTCGTGTACTGGGACACCAATACAAAGTTGACAAGCATTATATCGCACAGTTTCTGTCCTTCCATCCCTTCATTATCATCTTTTAAACTTTGTTGAATGGTTAATAGTGGATCTTTTAGACCTTCTACTAAATGTGTGACTTCACATGAGTTGGGACACACCCTCAGTAATCCCCTTCTTCAAAATAGGAACATGACCCCTTTCTGTAAATCCAACACCAAGGAGACATGGCAGCCACCACAACAGCCTGCTGTACAGACTAAAGAGCTGGATATGTAATCCATACCTCCACTGAATACAACTCATGACAATAAAGAAACAGTTACATCACTGATCTGTGCTGTGAGGACAAGAACCTGTCAGGATTTCCTGATGACAAACAGTATATGTTTATATGAAGAACAGTTAGACATTTTGGGAACTACACCTTCTTGCTGGGTGTTAGATTAGTAGAGTTACATCATTGTCAGGAGACATTTTCACTTGTTAGATATTAGCTCTCTACACATGACAGATTTTTCTCATAAAGCATTGTTGCTTCAGAAATTCACAAAAACGCCTGATCTCAAAATGTTCAACAAAAACAATCCTGGATCCGCCCCTGATCCAGATTTACACCAAAAGCTAAAAGGTTTGACCCTGAACTTCATACTTCCACTATGTTTAAGTCATCCATTGCTTTTTGTGTAACCCTGCTAACTAACAGACAAGTACAAGAGGAACTTGTTCTACTACTATGAGATCTAACAGTTTGCCTGAAGATGAAAATGCTTCCATCTGGGGTGGTCTTCTGAGGCCCCCTCACAGCAGAACAGTGACGCACCATAGACCCTGCCTTTGTGAAGATATTAACGAAGAATAGAAAGACACTTAGAGCTTTGACAACACTTGAATACTCATCTATCTGATACGTGTCATGCAGCTACACGGTAATGCGGCCCTAAAGTAGCATTTCTTAATCTCTGCAACAAATAAAGACCCATTGATCAAGCTACCAACCCATTATCCTGGTCATCCAATAAGCTTCAGCATCTGTGACTACGACACCTTATGACATCAAAGCCTGTTAAGCTGCGGCACAATGCCAGAATCCCATCTCACAACAACACATCCACTGTTTCCTCAGCCAGTGTTCCCACTTAAACCAACACCTGATGACATACGGAGAGCATTTGGAACAAAGTAAAACAATTCCAACAGCCAGGTCCATGAATTTTATCAAATAATCTCAATATAAGACTGCAGCCAACCCATGTAGCATGTGCATGTGAGACAAAAGCTGGGGAACTGAAGAAGCTTTCAATTTCTAAATGGATTCTGACGTCCTGGTTAGTTTGTTCTTTCCTCTGACAGTGTGGACAGAAACCTCATCCGCTCTAGTTGACTATAGGTGATACAGCGGAAGGAGGATTCATCACAGAAATGTCACAGGTGGGCTGCACGGTGGGAGAGTTGAGTGTGTCTCATTAGAATGATAAGCGTTGGGGGCTGGGAGTGGTAAGTGTCCTGAAAAGGGGCTTATGCTGCAGTCATGGAGGTCAATCCACCTCCAAGACTATAGTGTTTCTAACATTAGCCGGCTCAGGCTATATGGGATAGAACAATGAAAACGATCTGTCTATAAATGCAAAGAAACAGCAAAAATATTGCACACAGGTAAATAATCGTTCCTGTAAGAAACATAAATCCACTTCAGTTCAAAACCAACAACAACCCACTCTCTGACCGAAGCACCTGCTGCTGTCAAATCAATTGCTTTTGTAGTTCACAGTCAAATAGGAATCTGATGAAATAGCAGATGTTCTCACTTTTCTCTGAAGTTGACAAAGTATGTGAAAGACTAAACATTCTTCAGCAGGATCACTTACCACTGTTGGCTCCATCATTGCAAAAAAAAAAATTGTAATCAAACAACTCAGAGAAACGCAGACTCCTCGTGGACGTACGGTTGTTCTGTCCCAATATATATCTCTTCTTCACGGACTGTTCTCTGAAAGGTTATAGATGTGCTGCAAATTAGTTTTGCAGCTTTGACCTCTGTGGCCAGAGCGAACCTAGAGAGGACGATAAGTCTGACCACACCAGCATGTCTCAGAGGCTGAGGGATAATCCTGCAGTGTGCCACTTGAATAGCTTTAGAGGGGGAGGGAAGAGGAGAAGTGGATAGGATGAAGAGAGACAGAGAGATAAAAAGTGGGACGAGGAATATGATATTGACATGAAACCATAATTAGCTATTTACTGACAGGATGGCACAACCGTGAGAAGCCGATACAGGAGCTTTAGGTTGTGTTTTCTAATCTTTATTTTATTTTTACACACATTATGAATTCATGGTTGGCTGCAGGAGCTCACAGCAACATGACTCAACCCAATTCTGCAGGTACTTTATGAAGATGAATGTTCTTAAGTGAGTTAAAGAGAACTCCTTTTACAAATGTTCATTACACAGTCAGCTGGTTTTAAAGCGCTGAATGGGAACCACAACAAACATGTAAGCTCGTTAGAGTAAGAAGATTTTAGAGAGATGAACTAACTTTACTCCAGCACATTATTAAGCTCACTGTCTCCTGACTGACAGCAGCGTAAAGACTAAGCTGCTAAACAAACGCTCTCTAGAAACGTACAGTGATTGAAAAACAATAAATCTAATTTGGCTAGTTATCGGATGTTTCGATACAGTTGGTTTACGGTGACTTCTGGTTGTCCGGTGATTCTGTCAGATGAGAACAGTGTTTCCTCGTCTTTTACTGACTGAGGATCAACGACGAGCAAAGAGAGAGACGGTGGGAGGCCTTCCATTGACATATGGCGAGAGACAGAGAGACAATGGGGGCAAGGAAGGGTGAGATGGAGGTGAGGTCAAAGAAGTTCTGGAAGAAGAAGCAGAATGTTCAGGATGCTGTGGTCAGACGTCCGGAAAGATCCTGAGTGGAACAGAGAGAGAGAGCCGAGGGGCCGGGACGGCAGCTGAACACATCAGGACAGAGATGTGATTCATCTCACGGTGCAGCACAATATAAGCGGGCTGGTTGGATGTTGCCAGGAGACAGAGCTGCCTTGTGCAGACTTCACACACACACACGCCATAACAGCCCAGGCCGTCATTAAGTGGCCATGTGACCATCGCTTTGGACAAGAGCAAGAAGCTTGAGTGACGCAGTGTCAGCTGTCACTCACACTCGTGGGACGTCCTCAAGTGAGCACCAACACTCACAAGAGAGAGAACCTGGTGGAGAGTCAATGAGTACTGAGGCAAAAAGGAAAGATGGAGATCAGGGGATAATAAAAAGATGCAGCGATCAGAGTTAAAGGAGAAATAGTGGAAGAGACTCTATGAGCGTGGAGGGTGATGGTGTTCATCAGCTGAACGTGT